AGGCGGAGCCGAGAAGGAAGGCCATGGGAAGCAGCCGGAAAAAAGCTGCGAATGGCCCGCTCCACCGCCTGCATCTCACGCACATTGATGTGCTTCAAGGAACGGTCCCAAAACCCCCTTGCCAGGAGGGGGCGGGACGTCCCGGCAGGAGAAAAGGTGGCTCCCCAGCCAGTCAGACTGGCATCCATGGCCAGGGTGCCGGCGAAGGGGATTGCGTCCGGGTTGAGAGGGCGACCCGCACAGTGCGGAAGGTTGACCCACGCCTCTAAGTCCAGCCGGGCCTGGGGGGTGAGGCGCAAACGATCCTGCCAACTGCGTTTGGACCGAAGAACTGCGTAGAGGCTTTGCAAGAAGAAGCGCGCCAAGGGGAAGGCCAAATATAAGGAAATGGCCAATCCACAGAAACGGGCCAAATCCCTAGCCACAACCCAGCGACATGTGCGCAAAAGATTGGCCTTAGAGGCCACCAAGGTAGCCTTCTCCGGCGGAACTTCAAAACGGCAATGGGCCGTGTCGATGATCACGCCCAAATGCTTCTTGCGCCGAACAGGGGTCCACTGACATTTGCGGTCTTTGAATTGGATACCCAGCGAGGCAAAAACACCCCTCACAAAACCGGACCAGCGAGTCAAATGAGAGGCGTCATGCATTGCCGCCAGAAAATCATCCAAATACGCCAAAAGAATGGCGGGAGATTCCTTAGTGTACACCTGAAAGTAATTAGCAATGGCGTCATCGCCTGCTAAGCGTCCAAAACGAAACTGTCTCGCTGCCTTGGGGCAGCTGCCCGGGGACCTCAAGAAACGGCCCACTACAAGCATGAACTGCGTAAAAAAGAATGGAGCTAAAGAGAGGCCAAACGGAAGTGCCCGACATGCAAACACTTCGTCCCCCATTCGAAACTGCAGGAAGCATTCCTCTGATCCACACACCCTGAGGTGATGATAAGCATCCTTTATGTCGAAACCTACCAATGAGTCATTTCGTCTAAGAAGGTGACCAAAATCACGCAATTTTTCGTAGCGAAGGCCCACCTTGCGTAGGTGACGGTTGACCCATCTCAAATCGATGCAGAGTCGGTACTTCATGACCCCGTCCTCCCGACCCTTCTCCACCAGGAAGGTGCGGGAGATGCGCGACGTCGGGCCCGGCGCCACCTTGACAATCGCGCCCGAAGCGAGGTACTCCGCGCGAAGGGAAGTCCAAGCCGCCCGTTCCTCCGGAGAGCGGAGCGGATAGGAGCCCTCGTCGAAGGGGGCTGGGGGCCCACGCGGGCCCCAGAGAAGCGGGGTCCCGGAATGGATCCATTGGAGGACTCTTGATGGAGCGCCGATCCGGCGCCAAGCGACAAGGCGGCCTCGAACCTGGTTGTACGGAAAGTCCTTTACGGACCCGGCTTGGGGGATGGAGCCGGGGCGCGAGAGCCCTTGTGGGACTTGTGGCCGGTCGAGGGGGCCGAGGTCGACGGGGGGGAGGTAGACTTCTTGGCGGCCGCGGTTTTGGTGGCGTGCTTCTCTTCTTGCGTCAAGAGCTCCTTGCGCATGTGCTCGATGGTCCCGTCGACGCGAGCGGTGCCGAAGCGAAGGCCGCGGTCGGCGAGACGGATCTCCGCTTGAATGGCACGCCACGATCCCTCGAGGCCCGAGCCCTTGTGCTTGGCGTAGATGCGCTGCAAGGAAAGCTGATCGTGGAGGGCCTCGGTGACCTCCACGTACGAGTAAAGGTAGGGGAGGAGGAAGTCTCGTATGGACGCTGGGAGATCGGGATGTGCGGCCGCCTCCTCGAAGGCCGCAGTCGTGTCGAACAGCCAGGAGACCGGAGGAGCCCAGCCCGCGTACTCCTGGAAGTACCCGGAGTTGGCGCCCAAAGAGGTGGCGACCGCGCTCCCCTCGGCGGTGTCGCGGATGTCGAACCAGTACGGCGAACGGGCGCCCACCGGTCGGGCGACCGGGTTGTTGACGGACTGGGGGAGTAGCGCCGGGTCGGGCAACCAGCAGGCTTCGATAGCGGAGCTCGGAATACGGTTGTTGAACCGGCGAGCTTGTTCCCGGCACCACTGCTCCGCAGGGGACGGGTTCATAGGCAAGAACTCGGCAAAGAGCCGGAGGTCGAGACCCACTCGGTGGGTCCGGGCTGTGCCAAAGGGTTGGCGCGAAGCGAAACAAGATACGGTGGGGACCGAGGGGTGAGCCTAAGTAGCCTCCCCGCTCAAGCCCACCAAAGCCCACCGCTCCCAAGGGCGCCAAAAACCACTGGCTCTCCTTGAACGCGCTGAACTGGCCACTGACCCAAGGTACAGGGGGACAGAAACCCCAAGGGGCCGTCAAAACCGGTGTACTTGAGCAGCGCTGGTCCGACTGGGCCAGCGCGCCCGCCCCTCGTCGCCCTGGGCGGAAACCCCTTAACAAGATAGTTAATCCCATGACCGCCATTGTGACAGAGAGCGTCTCTCCAGACTGGTAGGCAGGTGTGACAAGCATGGTTGGGGATGCCTGTTGAAAACCTGCTCGTTGCAGCTTGCTAAGGCCAATGTGGGGTGCACTGCGTCCGTTTCAATGCCACTGCACGTGAATGAAGAAAACCACACATGGCAGGTTTTGTCGACTGATGCGGAGGTGAAGTGTGCTGTTAAATGACGTCTATCGCTCGCTGTACACGACGCGCTCCTTTTTAGTGGCTGTACGATGTCAGCAACTGAATACCCGACCTCTTGCAGCACCAGCGCTTCAAATGGCAGGACATCATATGCCAACATCAAGGTGATCAATCATTACAACAAAAATGGCGACCAGCGAACAATGCAACCTCCGCCTCCTTGTCGTGGAGCACTTCTTTGCACGAAGGCACTACTCGGCAGAGCGGTAAAGGGGTTCCCCAAACTGCTACACACTGAGTTTTTGCGCCATCCCCTCACCATAAGGTTGCTTGAGCTACAGTCCATCTACCCATGATTCGTTTGCCAGATCCAAAGCCTCAAAACTGTCCTGAACCTCTAAGACAATAATTCCACCTTTGTCATTGTCGTGCGACTAAGAGCATTCCACATTTGGACCTGACTTTTACCAAGCTGGGTTTTTCCCTGGTTGCAAAGTGCAGCACCTGCAATCTCCCTCACCGCGTCCTTGTCTGGCCCTGACGCGCAACTCGCTGATTGATTGAATACCACAAAGTATGGGTGGGCAGCAGCGCACAATGAATGCACGGACAATCAACACCGTGTGGTCTCGAGGACCCAGGACTTGGGCGGGCGTTGCTATGGATTAGTGCTTCCAGTTCTCAAACCTTTTCACCGCGCCTTGTCGCCCTCCGATTTACCGCACTTGCCCGTCTCGCCCGGGTACACATGCCACACGGCGACTTCCAGCTCCCGGACGGTGACCAACGACCGCTTGCCGCGCGCGGCGACCTTGGAGGCCCCACCCGCAGAGCCTGTCCTAGCAGGGCGTTCACGTCCGTCAGGGCCTCCTTGGAGATCTGCTGGTCGGGGTGGATTTGCCTGAGCGCCTTGCATGTAAATGTTATACATTTCGGCTTTGGCTGCTTTCCTCACCCCGCCCTTGGATGGTGCCGTCCACCCGGCCGGGGCCTTGCCGCGCTTCACGGGAGCCATTGTCGGACGCATCGTCAAGCCCCGGGCCGGGGGCAGACTGCGTACCGATCGACGCGCCTTTCGCGACGGGTCCTTTGCACATTGGCGATGCCTGATCGCGGCTTCGGATTCGAAATCTGTTGCTGAGAAAGTCAAAGTCCTCTTGGGGACGTTCTGCAAGGGGTTCTTTTGCAGTGGCGGCGGTTGAGCTGTTAGGCGCCTGCGGTGCCGGAGTTGTCGGGACGCGAGAGGGCGTGCGGATGTCGGTGTTCGCGGCGGTGTTCGGAAGGCGCATCCAGGCGAAGCACCATAACTGGGAAGCCGTGGGAAGATGCGTTGGTCCTTCCACGAAATTGGACCAGAAATGAGGAAATCTTGTGGGTGCGGGTGCCACAAATGCGTCAAGCGTCAGGGCCACGACGTGTCACATGTTCGGCCCGGAAGCAAGCCTCTCCGAAAGGGAAGACACTGTTTTGATTTTGGTATGCTTAACGTCAAATTGACGTCAACCCTCCCAGAAAAAAAAACAATTGTGTGCTCATTTTTGCTTCGGAGGCTCTGTATCACATTTTCATAGAATGAAAAAAAGCCCCACATACACTTGCCCAGGAGGGGTTGCCCTTGTATGACCTGTTTCTCTTTCTCTCTTGTAACAAATCTTACCCCCCTCCCCCCGTCCTTATCACCAGTACTTATTTCAATGCCAGGATGACTCAGCAACATTACCGAAGAATGCCATACAACGTCACAACAGTTAGAAGGGAAAAGCCATCCAAATTTGTAGCGATTGCGGTGATTTGAAGAATGGGATGCCAAAAGCGATGATGGGCGATGAGAGCAGCCCTAAAGCCTAAAAATGTTTCCATTCTACGGGCTTCCTGGACGACTGAAAGCTTGAGGGAGGTTTTGCAACAAGTTATGAGTTATTTGCCGCTGAAAAGTGGCGATTTTGTGCCCCTTGTCACCTTATTGTGATTTTGGTGCAATAATGCAATCTTTTAGCGTCAATGGCTGCCCTCCCCCCCTCCTTAACGTCAATTTGACATTAAGCGTACCCAAATCAAAATAGAGTCTTCCCTAAGGAGGTCGTTGCAATCCAAGACCCTCAGAAACGACGCCACGCCGCAATCATCTGAATATCCTACGGCGGACGGTCCATCAGCATATTTCCGTGTCTTAGGACAGCAATAGATTGCAAATGAAGTAGACAAAAAGCCATTAAAACTTTTGTATTAAAGCAACATTCTTCAAGCTATTCGGCTGGATATGCATGGCAGCTTTGCTGAAGGCGTCGGGCAAATGTCGCGCCCTGCTGAGCAACTGAGATCGAACGCCATTTCAAAGGAAACGCTCAACCAATTAATCCACCGACCAGTCCACCCTTGAGATATTAATCTAGCCAATCAACTGATCATTCTCCCTGCGCCTTCAGCACCTTATTCTCTCTCTCCAAGGCTTTCAACCTGTCTACCATATCACGCACGCACGCTTCGATGTCTCCATCCAGACGCCCGCGCCGCCGAAGCTCTTCTTGCAGTTCCCCCACCCTGGTCTGCAGCATACTGCGGTCCACCGTAAGGTCTGATATTTCCTTCTCCAGGTCGTACAGCTGCGTGCTGTGTATGGCGGACTCCGCGTCGCGCTCCTCCATTTCCTGTCTAAGGCGCTGCTTCAGTTGAGCCACGAGCATCTTGACGTCCTTGCTTCCCGCCTGGGAGCGCCTGAAGGCGTCGACGCGCCTATACGCCAAGTTCGGACAAATTTGAATACCCGAAATGCTTCCAAATCTGTGACGCCTCAGGTGCTCCTACACTACCAGAAAGTGTCATCTTTGCGATACCAACTGCGGCGCCATTTGACGTTAATTGATGCCATCACACAGAACTTTCTGCCTTCTCAATCACTGTGATGGCGCCATTTTGCGTCAAAATGGCATCTCAGTTGGCGTCGCGAAGATCCCGTTTTCTACTGGTGCAAAAAAACATATAAAAATAATATACTGACAAATGTTAGATTAAAAATATCTGTGTATTAGTATACTGAAGTATATTATCACATCATATTAGTTATGGCATAGTATGGCACAGTACGTTAGTCATGTTTGTCAATGATAAGTTATTGGAAGAGAACACGTATTGTATGCAGTGCACGCAATACTCAAAGTTCGCATTCTGCGGCAACGGAGACAGGAGCGACTGCGTTTGGAATGGTACACTGATTGCGTGAACCACCATGCGATCAACACACTGTCCCAAATTTGCGTTGCCGGAAACAGCATAGGAATTGCACAGCGCAAAATTCAGAAAGGAGTCTGGAATGCACTTTGAACATCTGCTGTGCATTAAGCAAATTTCCTTGCACTGTACTCCCAAGCCATTCGCACCGGTTCAGAATGTCCGTTAGCTGCTTCTTCGCCCTTTCGTACATGTGCCGATACAGTGCAGCCTTTTCCTCTGTTTCTCTGAGAGTTTTCAGCTGGTGCCCTTTTTGGTACTTCTCCGTCATGGTGATGATGTTGGCCTCCAACAGAGCACCCCTTCTCCTTGACGCATCAAGTGCTGCTTGCAGTCGCTCCAGACTGCCGTTCGCCATCTGAATCGAATGGAATTACCGAGTTGGAGCTACGCGAAGCGAAGTCATGTACAACACATTTGGCTCACCAGTGCGTCAAACTGAACGGAAATCTGCATTGAAGTGTGTTTCTGGTACCAGCCGAAAGGCCTCACGATGTTAGGGGTTGGCTTGAGGGCATATAGGCGTATTTGTAGGCAAGGCCGATACAAATCACAAATTTGCAACCACCTCTCCTACGCATACGCTTAGATGGTCTCAGCTCAACCCTTGACATACAATTACTAATTGTAATTCTAATAGAAAGTCCCAACTTCCATTCTTGTTGATGTTAAGGAAGTGATTGACATTTCGAGGGCGTCCGGCTCCCAAATGCCGGTGCCAAAATCCGATAACCCAAGAATGTATTCCCATGTCGTAAGAATGAGTAGGACAAACAGGGACCAATTTTCTTGTTTCAGTAAATCTATTGCGATCGCTGGTGCATGCATTTCAATGCATGGCTTTTACTACAATTAAGAATTGGAATAAATTTTCATATCACAACATTTCAAATTCAAGGCGATGGGCAGTAACAAGGAAAATCCTGGATATCGCTGTTTCTAGGCTTCCTTGCAGCGCTGTAAGGCCCTGTCCGCTTTGCATTGTACAGGCAATGATCGTGTCCAAAAAAGATTCTGGTTTCACAAATAATGGAGTGCATGACAGTGCAAGAAAATCTTGTGGAACTTATTTGCAACTTCACAAAATAACTTTGAAATGTTCTGTGTTATTACTCCGCAATATTTCAAGGCAGATTCAGTGGAAATAATGTGAAACAAATTATGCACATTTCTATTTCGGAAATTACAACCTGCCTTTGTATATGCATGCATGCGATAAATTCTAGCGAAAATGGACCAAACAACACTTTTTGCGAAAACACATATATACACACACACTAGCATATGCATTTAATCGGTGTTCTGAATGCTAGAAATACGGAAATAAACCAAACCCGTGAACTTTGTACACGTCCCAACACGTGTCATTTGGCCCCTTTTTTTCCTAGTGAAAGCAAGAAATTCAGGAACAAACGAAATGCAAGCGTGATGGCAGTTCTACACTTACATTTTGCGTTACAGTCGAACATCATGAACTTCATCGGAGACTCAAAGCCTGAATTTAGGTTCCTTCATGGTTCACATGGCAGGCCGCCTTCCTTCTCGCAATTAGCTCATACCAGTTCATAATATGTTAATGGCACTGTGAAGAGCTGCTAAAGTACTGCTGCAACATTTGCAATTGATAAATTTGAGCCCACCTGGGCAGAAGTGTCGAGAGACTTGTCCCCTTCATCTGAGTTTCCTCCAGTACGCGATTCACTCGATCCATCGTTATGGCTACTTTCGATGTAGCCAGTGCACGTTGAGACTTCTGGTCTAATTGCGGACCTCATACCTTCCGAAGTGTTGGACTGCAGCGCTTGCATCCCAATTGGCGTCAGCGTTGATCTAGTATTCACAAGAGAGGCGAGCGCTGGCAAGACACTCAGGTTTATTTGCTGCGACGGCAGATGCGGAATCAAATCGACAGCATTCAGCATTTAAACGCAGTCACAGTTGGCTTATCGCTGAAAACTGTGCGAAAGACATATATGGCAATTGATCCTCTTGAAAAATAATGCACTCATCCTTTACAATTAACATGGAAACCGGCACACCGATCATGACAGGTGCTTCTAAATATTTAGAATTCTAACTAATTAGAAGTTGTGCCTAATATCAGAATCAGTTTAACCATTGTGATAGTCGCTAGTGAAGCGCGACCAGCAACAGCAACAGAGGGAAGCAACAAAGCGTCAACAATTCCTGCACACAACAACTTGGCACATCTTCATTTTGTGTGGGAAGGAAACAATCCGCATATCTGGGCAATGCGGCGCCAGTTCACGACTTACCTTGGCAACCTCCAGCTCTTTTTCAAGCTGGACATTTCTTCTGTATATTTTCTTCAGTATGGATCTCGACATTCCCAATCGTCCCTCCAGACATTCAACCTTGCTCTGAAGATCTTGTCCCCTGCGGGGCGCGCATGCGAGCGAGCTCCTCGCAGGTTTCCTGGCGGGGCCGACATATTCTCGCCTCAAATCTTAGGGACGAATGCAAAGAAAAGTAAAATGAAGGCGGATGCGAGCAATGCTGCGCAAGCAGTAATTACTGCAATGGCGTCGACAAAAATTGTCGACAAAAATTTTGTTTTTGAAATTGACAGGTCATCCGCACCAATGACGGGCCCAAGAATGCCCCCTCGCGGCCGTGGTACCACCCCACCTGCCGGGCTTCTTTTCCTGATGTGATGGGCCTTGGGACTGCTTCCAGCCAGCGACGCCAGCGCCGACGACACCCCATCCTTCAGGTCCTGCCCCAGTCCCAACGACGACAGGGTGGCCAATATTTCGTGAGCCTCCGGCCGGCTTTCCTCGGACTGCTGTCCCTCCTCCGTTCCTCCGCAGGCGTCCGTTTCAGGCACCTCGCCCTCAGCGCCTCCCCAGCTTTCTACGAGGTCCATCAAGTTGGACGTCTGGCGAGGCGGCATCGAGCTCCCGGCTTGGAGCAATCGGGATGGAGGCCGGCCGTCGTGCGGAACGGGGCAACTGACGCCCGCGTCCTCACTGTCAACGCCATCAGCATTCCATGAAATGTCTACGTAACGGGTCGAAAAGGTAGCAGTCAGCGTTCTGTTTTGTCGGAGCAAAGTGTTGCTCATGATGTGTGCATTGAAATCTAACGCTGCAACACAAACTTCCTCAGGGGCCATGCCAACCTTCGCTGCGTTGTTCAATTCTGCCAGATGTTCCGAAGGGAGTGCCCACGCCTTCATGTTCAGTGTTCTCTACTTCATGACATTTCGCTGATTGAATGGTTGGCTGGTTGATTCAATGGCCTGGAGCAAGGACACGCTCGAGCCACTCACATGTCGAGGCCTTTGCCAATTGGCTCGTTCGTCCGGCCGTGCATGGCGCTGATGAGCCATTTACATTACCTGATCTCCCTTGCATCTTAGTTCCTCTATCGAACATTAATTGTCGTCTATTTGGAAGACAAAATTCGCTACAAGGACAGCTTCGAAAATACAAAACAAGTTCAAAATTGCAAAGGCTGTGTTCCAAACTCTTAGCAAGCGATTTCCAAGAAGAAAAAATGAGACATAGCGCCTTTGAGCGTTAGGCGAAATGTACATTTTGGTAAGTTTTGAGCCCAGGTATCGAGGTTTACTATTTAAGAAAACCCTTGATACAAAGTACTGCCAAATCATCAACATTTAATTTGACTTGAAATTTCGAGGATGTACTCCAAGCTTACAAGCACAGTTTTGGGTAAAAATTTATTGAAGAGAAATGTAGGTGCGATCGAGAAGTAATGCCCCAAATTCATAGACGGCAATTAATCTTGGACGAGCAAGTATACACTTGTCCGCAACAGTGCAGCCATCAGGGGATCTCTTTGGGTTCGCGAAAAGACCGAGGACACGCATTTGGCACTGGGTGCACAAAAGCAGCCGCACTGTTGCCCAGTGCTTTCACATTATTGTGAACCTTCCCCCGTTCGGATGCTGCATGCGGTGCAGCTTCGTTACCTTCAGCCAGGAGAAGCGCGCCGGAAAAGTGTATGTAATCGCTGTTGACGTAGACATGTATGCAACTCTTCCTCCATTGAAACTCGCCAACGGCGTACGTATAATAATGCACATTGTAATGTACAATATGTACATATAATAACATACAAAACAGCGTCAGAATCGGTTTGGCCGCGGTCCCGTTGTCGCCATTGCGAGAGGGGCGAAATCCTTGGATAGGGTCCCGTCCAGTCACAGCAATCCCAGGGCAGATTTTGAGCACTACGAAGTGGCTCAAAAATAACAACAGCATGAGTTGGAGTGAAATGAGCAAATATCTTGCCAATGTCCAGTGCATCACAATTGTGAGCTGAATCGCGAGCTCGCATTCGAATTGTCGAATGCGTGGGACGCTGACTCTTGCCAGCTGAGCGTGGAGCCAAGGGCTGTTCCTGGTCATGATGTGTAATGGATTAAAGCAGCTCGCTCCTACCGAGAAGGTTCAGTCCAGCCTCAGGTACAGGAAGCCAGCAAGAGCCAGAAGCGTCTGAAGCTTCAGAAATGCAGTGCGACTGGGCATCAACGCTTTTGTTGTACCTTTTGGCAAAACATGATGGTGTGTGGTGCGTTTGCAATCCAAACTGCTGCGGCTGTAGAAGATGGCAGCTATCCAGAACTCGCCAAAGCGCTGAGTCTCATGAGCAGGTGGCGCAAGTGCGCGTGAAACCCATGACTACAGCCATCGACGGTGGTGAATAATCTCAAGCCCCATTCACCTGATTGAAGCAACATAAAAGGCTGCCCTTGGAAACGTCGCATGAAATCCATGGCAACGAGATGGACGTGTAAACATCTGCTTGTCCTCAAATTTCGAGTGAGTGCTGTCCAAAACTCAATGTCCAGGAGCAGTTTTGATGCTGGCTGTACGGGCTCACAGGAATGCAGTATCTGTGCACACATTCTGACACCCGCCGGGAAAGCCCAAGTCCCCAGGTCCTCACAATATACTGGACATGGAGAAACAGCACGCATGCGTGCTCATGTTGCACATTAAGCAAGGGCAGTCCGACTTTGCTAGCCACACTGCTAGCCTAAAGACTGTTGGGGAAGCTTCAATACATCTCGGCACGATTGCAACGGTACACATTAATACAACGCTTGCAGGAAGCAGTACTTTCTGGCCTGTTGACTACAACTTCTTGTCGGCCCAGTCAAAGTGGAGAACGTGGTCGTTAAGCACTGGGGGCTCTTTGGTGCGTCGTCCATCGTCAAGTCTTCCCCACACTCACCCACACGTGGTTCGACACCGCATGCGCCATCCCTGGCTTCGAGGGCTGGGGTGCAGCACCAAACCAACAATGTTACAAGTGAATTAAACAATTTGAACGCGGAGCCCCACTATGCGCCACCCACCCCTGTACTGCTTGTGGGGTTCTGGCGCCCAGGCTCGCCACATGATGGCCAACTCCATTTTTATAAAAGAACGAAGCCTTCATTACCCCAAACCCCTACCCCACAAACACACCCAACCCCAGCCCACCCACCCGCCCAGCCCACCTAGCGTCCCGCCGTTGCTACACGGCGCCCCTTGAGAAGTGACCCGTAGTCCTGGCCCCTTACCCATCAGGCTGCTACAAGTTCTCCTCTATCTCCCGTATTCCGTTCAGGCTGCTGGTGTGCTGCGGGGTGCACAGGGGCGTCTCCAGCGACACTGACATGTCCTCACTGCCCTGCACGCTGCAGGTGGGCGTCTTGGGAGAGAACAGCACGATCAGGTCCGGGTTCCAGGCCACATCTAGGTGAGTAACTACCAAGGACCACACCAGGGGTACGAAGAACTCCTCTGGGTTGGCCTCCTCCTCATACAAGAACTTCAGCTCCGGAAAGTGGCGCAGCTTTTCGGGTCTCCAGGAGCGGGAGGTGGTGCGCAGGACATCCAAAACCTTGTCCGCCCCCCAGTCTGTGGAGGGCTGTAGGGACCGGGCCTCATCGATCCGCGTGTTGAAGTACTCGATCACTACCTGCAGGCACTTGTGCTGTCATTGCGGTGCCGCTGCTGCTGCCCTGTGATCTGAAATCAGAAGAGACATGCATCGACCAGCGTTTCATATTGCATGTTGCTGTCATGAATGCATTCGTTTATTCATGTGGAAGCACAATACCCAAGCAACTGGGCTCTCTGTCTTGCTCGTTGGTACCACCTTCTGGGGTTGCCACAGATGTGAATGCACTGGGCGATGCAGTGTTCTGCAGGGTGTGTTTTTTATTGTACAGGAGTTCGGACAACTTAATTCCATTCCTTCTTATTCTTTGGTCCATGTGGACAACACTGGTCCTCTTCAGGGCGTGACATTCAACGTTGTCTACACATTTCTTTGAGTTTACCATCGGAGAACAGGTACAACACTATAATTTTCAATGCTTAATACAGTTTGAATTACAACAGCGGCAGACCTCAGCACACAAGCGGTGAAGTGCAATAGAGAGCCATAAGTAAATCGGCCTTTGTTGGTCATCTCAGATCCCATTGCTGCAACAACAATTGCAAGCCATTCAACCCATCCAACTGGACCCAGGACAGTGTGTGACAGATGGTGTTCGATGAACAAGTCTCGATGATCCTGTCCTTGCGATGTGGAAAGGGGGCACTCTAATGCTCATTTGGAACAGAGGAGAGCTATTGCTTTTGCGCCCACTCGCCCCAGCCATTGTCTCACCGAAGCAGGCTGTGCAATTACCTGGATGTTCTCCAGAAGGTCCAAGCACTGCGAGTGTCGTTGCAGTGCAACAAACACACTCTGCCTGTACAACATGGCATACACCAGCTCCGTGTTGTTGGCCAGCCCAGTTGTGATGATGCTGTTAATCACCTCCAACAGAGTCCTCAAGAACTCCCCATAGAACTGTAGCTCAGGCGAGTGCTCTCCTCCACTCACAAAGCCCCCAGAGCTCCCTCCAACCAGCCTCACCGCTTTGTCATACTTCCTGAACAGCATGTCCAACAGGGACACAAGCCTCTGCGCGGCATGCGTGCTCAGGGCCGTCACTGACGTGGCGAGGTTGGACAGGGCCGCCACAGTGTTGGTGTGCAGGTAAGGGTCCCGGGTTTTGGCCAAGTTGTGGCTGGCCGTCCGAAGCAGCACGACGATCAACAAGCTTCCCAGTGTGGTCTTGCCCATGGCGCGATCCCTGTACCAGTCGGGGGGAGAAATGGGCACCTTGTGGATGTTTTCCCCGAAGGAGGCATCCTGGCTCAAGATGAGTATGATGATGATCAGCAGGTACAACTGGCTCTGGCTCTTCGAGGACGACAGGTAGGTCTGCCTGAAGATGCATGGAAAAGAAACTACGATGAGTCCCATCTACCAAAGACATGATAAAGCATTGGCTTTGTACCTTGCATGCAAAACGGGCATGATGCTGGTGACAACTCAGTGCTGCAGTCCTCTTTTACGGCAGCTGTAGTTCTCCTATTATTTGAAAGAAAGTTCATTCAGTGCACCACACCCCAAAACAACAGCTAAACAGACCAGGCTACAGCGTTGGCATGCTATTCATAATAGTCACTATGCTTGCGATCGTTTTGTCGGCGCATCTCACCTGAGGATGGGCAGGAGTAGGGTGTCAAGGTCGCTGCGCACAAGCACGTAGTCTTGGAAGGTTCGGCATAGGAGCAAGAGGGAGTAGAGCAGCAATATCGTGCGCTCGTCTGCCAGGTTCCTGCTAATCGCCTCATACAGTGACCCATAGGACAGGGTGGCCACGGCGCCCACCCCAGCCTGCCTGGCACCACTGACTTCATTGCCTCCTAGGAAGGCCATGTCCTGGAGCTTGCTGAGAGCATGCTTGTAGGGGTTGGGGGCTGGCCCTGTGGGATGGTAGATGAGGACAAGGAGAAGGAGCTGTGCCTCATCTGCCAGCGGGCTCTCCGTGACATCCGCGCCGCTGCGGACGAACATCTGGTAGGCCAAGGAAGGCAGCCACATCACTCCGCCAATGGCAGCAGCTGAGGGCACATCACAACATGCATGTGGAGCTGTTGCCAGCCATATGCTCCGATACGCTGAGGCATGTTGGAGCAAAGGGGCTATACCGGGCATTGCACCTGGCTACTTGGCAGTTTGCACATTTGCTTTTTCTAAGGGCACCTGACAAGTCTAGCCAGCAGAATGGACAGCAGGCAATTATGTGTGTCAATTCATTGAGTAAAAACTCCAAAGCAAGCACAGGCACCCTTGAGGAGACAAAGGGCCACAGTTTGACATAGTGGTTTTCTCCCAACTTGCAAACATCTGTGCTTGAATAGTTTCCTGTAAGCTTTTAATGGGCAGTTCACCCTTGTGCTTGCCGTGCAAACTGAATGTTTTCCCATCCAAGCCCAACTGAAAATTGCTTTACAACTGCCAAGAAAGAGATGGACAGAAAGATGTCCTCATGCCCCAAAAGGGACAGATAGCAGCACTGATCCTTCAACACCTTCCATGTGGTCCAAGGGTTTATCAAACCTGTAAAGGGTATTTTCTAAGATTGAGTGAAAGCATTCAAGGAGCAAAGTGAGCAGAAGATTGGCACCAGAAGCAACCACACCAAAAGGGCCCCATTCTCCTCTTGAGCATGAAGCGATTGACAGCAGCAATGTTCTCAACACCTACGAAACCGGAATGTGGATTGCAATTCCAACGTCAGGCGCTTGCCCAAGGGCACTCAATTCGAGCTCAGGGCACTGCTTTCTTGTTGCGCCTTGGGCAACATTACTTGAAGAACATCAGAATTGTCAAACCGTGTGAAACACCAGCCACAGTGTTTTCATCAGAACAGGCCCCCCTCCCACGGTGCCAGGCAAAGAGGGCAAGGACAGTGACGAGAGCGATGTGGGTGAAGCCAATATCACATAGGAGAAGGCACTCACCTGCTGCATTCCTCACATACTTCAGCATGCCCCCCTTGCCATTGGCCTCCCTTTTGAAGAGGACGACGTCCCGTGGCGACGGCTCCCTCTTGACCAACCAGTCCAGCACTGTCTGCACCACTGTGCTGGCACAGTCCCCCCTGAGCATAAGGTAATCCAGGATGGGGTGCGAGCCACTGGGCCCACCTGCCGTGGGCACATACAGCTGGCTCGAGCAACCCACCAGGAGGGCCCTGACGACCTCCAGCTGCAGCAGGTACCCACCACCCGAGTCACCCATAGCCAGGGTGTTCAGGAGCGCCCCCGCAAATTGGAACAAGGGGTGGCTCGGATCTGTTTGTGCAAGAAGCACGTCGCAGTGTGTGAGCTTCAGCTCCCTGATGGCAATTATTCGATCATTTTCCACAGGATGGAAGAGTCTCACAGTCTTCAGGACAAGGTGCGCACACATATTCGGCGTGCTGCATTTAAAAGGATTACTTTTGCAGGGACTCCGTCGCGGCCAAGCTACCATTTCTGCAATCAATGACACTGGGCAAGCATCCTTGTCCATTCATAGCCCATGTGTACACGTGGCTTGCTGGTACTATTTACTGTTTGCAAGCAACTGCTCATGCACTTGATGAATTTTGCAACACCTTCTGCAGTGTTATTGCAGAAAATCACCGCATAGTCTCTCTGAACCACATGCGGTGCCGATTTTCCAGCACATGGATATTGCCCGCATGCACAACGCAAAAGGGCCAAGAAGATGGGCTGTCAGACACCCAACAATGCTCCAGCAAGGTATGACACCACTGAACAAATTGCGATGCATTACTCTGTGACAAACAAAGGCCATGGTTACCGCAACGCACCCCATTCGGCGGCTTGAAGGGCCAACTCGATCACACAACTCCCGAGGGGCACATATCTCCTTCGCGAGAAACGCTGTCAAACAAGCACCACACATCCTGGAAACCAATTTGGGTTGGGAAGAACATCACCTGGGTCGATTGCGCTGGCATCCACGACGCCATCTGAGGGCTCCTCTAGAAGTGACACCACCTCGTGCCCCGGCAGCCTCTCCAGCAGGCCCTTCAGGATCACCCGCACCAGGTGCAGCGCGTTGGCCGCGCGCAGCGGGTCGTCCCTGCCCCCTCTGGCGCCAGTTAGGGCGACCGCGGCCCGCAGCAGCAGCTTCTGCAGGTTGCGCGTGCCGCCGTTGTTGATCGCTGCGGCGCCAATCCGAACAGAATCGCGTCATGCGATGTCGATCGGCGCGGCCCCCGCCGGCGAGGGATCGCAGAATTCATCCTCTCGCGCTCATGCAAGGCGTCCCTATGCCCGCACCCTTTGAATACCCACGCACCGCAGGCCATCTTCGGAAAGCAGCTAGAACATCAGGCGGCACAGGTGTCTGTGCCCAAAGCAGACGAACTGCAGCGCCGACCGATCATCGACCACCGCGCTCCGGCGAAGTGCCGCAGGCGCGATTTGGAACCCGCGCTCACCCAGGTCCTCCGCGAAGGGCGCCAAAAAGGCCTCGACCTCCAGGGGGTCCAGGCAGGCCAGCGGCAGCGGGAACGTCGTCAGCTGGCGCCAGAAGACGTCCGACGGGTCGATCGGCACGGGGCGGGCCAGGCGCGACAGGAGGCCCCGGTGGCTGAGCAGGGCGTCCGCCGCGCCGGTCGCCATCGGTGCGCCGCCGGCGGGCGCGGCCCGCGCGGGCGAGGGGGCCACGGGTCCAGCTGCTGCGACGGCTGAAACCCCGCGGGTGCGGGCGTCGAGCGCCTGCGGGCAGCGCGAGCTACTCCGCAGGCCTCGGAGAGGCGGGCGACGTGGCCCTGGATTTGAAGCGGCCGGCTCACGCCCATCTGGGGCATATCCCGGCCTGCGGCACCGTTGCCAAAAAATGGAGTATTCATGCATACGCACGTTGCTTCTGTCAGAGCAGTTCGTGAATGATGCTGGAAGGAACTCCCCTCCGGCAATCAGGGGCGCCGACGAGATGACTCAACTCCGACACGCCCCGGAGGCAGAAGAAGAGGGCTCAAGACCCGACACCACAAGACCGAAAGTTGTCAGACCGGTGAATCTAGGGCGGGCGGGCTGTGACGTTCGTTGCTCGTAACAGAGCACGTACGCGAACACGGCGGCCGTCGCTCGTGGCGCAGGTGCAACTCGCTGCGCGTTGTGCCACACTGCGCATTTGACGTGCGTCAGTCTGTCCCAGCGCTTAATTAGGCAAACGTCATTCTCAGTTGAGAAATGGATTTGTGATGATTTGTGATGTGACTTGCGCAAGAATCTTTGCGCCAAAAATTGGGAGTCTGGGGCAGCTTGGTGCTGCAGTCGATGTGCGGATGGTTGCCACGCAGGCGAGGCAGCGGGCAAGGGAATCGGATGGGAAATATAAGCAAGAATGTCAGTGCAAGCCTTGGATGCGTCCAAGGTCCTGTCGGGTTGCCATGTTGGAACCCGACATTCTGCAATTGGGATGAAACCAACACAAGAGGCGCCTCAGAATAGGTTGGCGGCGCACTTGCCCAATTGGACACAAGAAAGGTTGGGGTCCCAAGACATGTGATTGATGTGAGTTGCTGAGTCTTTGATTAGGGAAATACATGTGGGGATTTCGCATGTGGCAGGCTATTCGGCGGCGATACCAGGATCTCTGGCCGCCATTCTCCCTGGTTTGAACCCATTAGTCCACAGTCTGTGTTTGAACGTGAGCCACAGGATCTGTGCGCTCTTAGCACGTGATCCACAAGAGATCCAAGACTTGCATTCTGATCGGCGCCGTGACCAGCTTTCTTCTTGGATAGCCTCCCTATTAAAGGTGCGCAAAATCCGTCACCAAGAGGAGACGGACGAAACAGATACTTTGTCTTGCTCCTGCCCGCCCATCCGCCGGAGTATAAATTACTCGGGTTTATTGCTTGCCATACCAGCAATCTTTATATGAATATGGCGTTTGTATCGCCAAGTTAAGGGGTTGCCGGCCACAGGTACTTGTGCAATAGGGACTTTTGATGAATGCTACTAATACACTTGTTCAGTGCGCACGTCGGGCGGTAAGAGGACTCCGTCAAACGGATTACTAGTCCAACATAAGCTTCTTCGCAAACGCCATGTGCTCAGCCGGTATCCGGAATCCACGCCGGAATCCGCCAGACCATTTGGCGATAGACAGAAAACCTGCCAGCCAGGTGTCCACCCCTCTTTATGCAATCCCGTGCCAACTATCGTGTCGCCAAATGGCCCCAGATCACTCTTCCAACGTCCCTGCCATCGTTGACGTGTCCCAAATATTGTTCACTAAAGGCGGCATCTTCACGAACTGAGAAGAATCGCATGGGTAATACGAGGAGTCTGAGTGTCACACCAAACTTCCCAGATATCTTACTACTTGTCCTGTCGACAGCTGCCATCGACATACACGACAGCCTGGCCCACTAACGTAAGATAGCCGCAGGTGTGATACACCCTTTCATTGCCACCGCAGTCGCGATGTCAGATGAGCAAGTCTCCTGATGCCTTGGGAATTATCGTAGATTAGCCATTGGATTTAAGCAGTCGCCCAGTGAGATGAGCTAAGCGTGGCTGAGAGTGCCTCCAACAAGAACGTGGAAGATTTCGCACAGGTCTGTGCATACGCAATGACACATCTTCTCAGGGAGACTTGCTCTATCTTCGAATCTTCCTTTATCGTATCGCAACGGCCGAGAACCTACTGAAGCAGCCAAGAACAAGGCTGGTATGGGGCCGGCCCGGTATATGGCGTGCCGGCACGGTTCAGTATATACCATTTACAGAAGACCGATTTCCGTCTGCCAAAACAGGTTATTATTCAGACCACTGACATAGCCACGAACGCCCAGAAACTTAGGCACCTCTCGTCAGGATTACCGCATACATTTAAAACTTTCAAATTACAATATTGAGTGGCTGTTGTTGCAGAATTGCGTTTCTAATCTGCTCAATAACGCGGTACAGTTCTGAGGTGCAATAACGCAGTACAGCGATGTGGTAGCATTCCAAACTTAGCGTCAGCTTTTCCATTAGTTTGGGAAAACGTTATGTCAATATGGGTACGCTTAGCCACGACGCTGGGGGACTCGGGGGGGGGGGGGACGGGGGGCGGGGCCCATAGAGAGAGAGAGAGAGTGATGCTAAGAGATTATGTAATTGACACAAAATCGACGTAAGGAATAAAAGTTGCCCATAAACGCCACTGATGAACGGCAAACAACCCCTGATACGTTTCTAAGCCAGCTTCCAATGTTCAATGTTTAAAGAAGGCCTTAGAATAGATCAATTTGCAGCCATTGCGGCTGCCGGCCTCACCTATAATGGCATTTAGAATCCTGCTTTTCAAGCCATTGAAATCAGCACAACTTTCATTGACTTTCTCTTTAGAAGCATCTGGAAGTTGAATACCACTGTTAGGTAATTGTGCTGAGTCATTCTGGCTTCGACATAAGGATTGACGATGGGGACCAAGGGTAAGAAATGTTACAAAAGAGAAAGGAAAAGAGGTCATACAAAGGGCACCTCCGAGGGGGGAGGGGACTGAGCCTAACGTCAAATTGACGCTAAGCGTACCAAAATCGACATAGCATCTTCCCTTAATGATATGAAATTTCGATTACAGCTAGAATATTGCCTTTTGCATGACCTGGAAAATTTAAAGTTGTTGGGATACGTCATCTTGTGTATCTCCGATAAACAATGTGATTCTCATTTTATGAACGGCCATCATGCATGGCGAGCTCTATTATGGCTGCTGCTTAGTTTGAGACTGAAATTGGCTATCCATTGTCCCAAAGACCTTAATTCTGTTTAAATTCTGCATCAATGGCAGAAATTTTCGTAAGCATGGAGATGATAAGGAGTGTGCTGCATGCTGAGACGACTGCTTCCTAACTACTTCAGAAGCTCTCCATGATCTGTTGTTGAGGGTGGGTGTTATCTGTTACTTGGATGCTAGTGGATTGGGAATTCTGTTTTATAATGCACAGTCGCTTTTGATGAGCTGATGCTCTCGTGATGATGGGCCTGGGTTGTGTGAAGATGTCATGAGTTGGAGCGTGGCTTGTGTCGCTCTTGTGATTGATGGGCTTGCGTGGCGAGTGATTTGCAGGATGGAACCAGCCATCAAATCGGCCTCAAACTGGCACATAGAAAAAACGCACTAACTTGCTCAGAGCTTCTCCTGGTGATGCCACAGATGTAAAACGCGCAGGCGGGCACCTGCCGGAATTTGATACCATGGTACGTACCGAATTTCCCCCGGGGTGCATAGTGACAGCTTCCATGTACAATACCGACATTATTCCGGTCTCAATTTTGACGCCTTTTTCACCAACAGACGCTTAACCTTGTTTGCTTGATTAATCCTGTTTGTGGGCTTCGATTCCAAGCGCGCCTCACGCAAGTGGTTACTCTTTTTCCTGATCTCGCATCATCAACATTCGGTCAAGTTCATCCTTGCGAAGGCAAGAGTTCCCAAGTGGGCATACAATTACTGGCTGTACCAAATCGGTGACTTACTGCATTAAATCGGTGACTGCTTGCACCAGCTCCCTCCAAAACTTACCTAACCTAAACCCTCAACCCCAAAACCTAAAACTAACCTACTTTAAACCTAAACCTAACCCTAAAACTCATCCTAAAGCTAAACCCAACGCTAAAACTGAGGTTAGGACATAGTGTGCACGTGATTTGGTGCAAGCAGTCACCGATTTGGTGCAGGCAGTAGTATTATTTCTCCCAAGTGTGGAGTACGTCAGAAAGCCTAAGGCCTGTGTCTGGTGCGACTTCTGGGGGTAATGAGGCTGACCACTCCAGGGTTCTCCTCGGTTGACGTTGCATGAACACGGCATAAAATTACTGGCTGCACCAAATCGGTGACTGCTTGCACCAAGTAATGTGCACATCATGTCCAACTCCGTCCAAACTAAATTAACCTAAAACCTAAACCCTAAAACCTAAACCTACACCTGTCCCAACCCTAACCCTAACCCTAAAACTCACCCTGAAACTAAACCTAACCCTAAAATTGAGGTTAGGACAAAGTGTGCACGTGACTTGGTGCAAGCAGTCACCGATTTGGTGCAGGCAGTAATATTATTTCCATGAACACTGTGCAAAATCAAACTCTGTCATTTGGTGGTGGTCGCTGGCGGAGAGCGGGCAAGCGACGTTCCGCAACGATCCTGCTCCCACACCGGATCGGCAGGCGCTGGTCGTTGTGTGTTGCCCGTGCTGGAGTGTTAAGCACCGGGGCAGGAGGTGCAGGCAACAACCCACAGGAGATGCTGAAGGGTCTGTTGGGCAAAAGTTGTGGCTCTCTGCGGCCCATCGGGGCAACCATCGACGCTTGGCAAAGGAGCTGGAACTGTATTCACAGCGGTCCCAGCTGGAGATGGGCGTCTTCCATGCCGGAGACTCCAGGCACGGATAGTGGTCGGTCGTAAAAGAGAAGAGAACGGGCCGCACATTGGGGTCATTCCGCAGTCGAGCCAGAACATGGGACTCTTGTTCCTTGCACAACTGGAGGAAGGAGTTTCCTCATGCATCACAACTAGGAAGAGCGTACAGGGCAGGGCTACCTTTCGAGGGTCGGGTGGGTCATTCTGCTCGTAAATTGCGCGTTTTGTGATGCATAGGCGGAGGGCAAGCAGGAGGGTTTAGGGCATTGGTGCAAGACAAAGGTGCGTGGGAATATATCGCTGTTCCAGACGCGCGACGCTCGGCAGGATAGAATCACAGTCACCCAGCCAGCCAGCAACGCATCGCTGTCGTGCAGGGGTGCTGAAGGCGGTGTGCAGGTTCATGTAGCCAGATCGGCAGTTGCATGTTGTCATGCTGCTCTGACGCCAACAATGCGTAGGACCGAGCTCCTTCAAAGATCACATTAAGCAAGGCCCAGCCAGCAGTGTCCTTGGACGACGGCTGGATCGTCCTGCCTGTTGAATGGCCACACCAGCAGTTGCAAGATTGACAGTTGTGGGTAGGATTGTTGATTGGGAAGAAATGAACAATGCTCCTGAAATACAGACTGTGGATGGAGCCATTTATGTTATACCTCTGAAGGACACCACCATTTTACGTTTCGACAACAAGATCAGCTAGTTGAGGATACAATGCAGCACAGCTTTCAGCAAGGAGACATTCCTGAATGCAGGCCTGGACAAAAGCACATCGTCGTCTGCAGCCCCAGCTACGGACAGCGAGGATCCTCAACAATTGAACGCCTTCAGCAACATGAAGACGCCCAGCCCTCAAGATCCTTTCCCTGCCAGCTCGCCCATTGCTGAATGGCAGCAATCAGAAGAGACCAAAGCTGCCCGTCGGCGTTACCTGAGTGCAGTGTTGTCTGCGGGAAGGAAGCAGCAGCTGGAGCAAGTGAAGTCCCAGGCTGCGGAGCAAAACAAGAAGCTAGAGGAGACATCTGTCGCAGATGTTGAGACAGGCTACGCAGCATTGGGGGGCCATGTCCCCAGTGCCCAGGAAACCTATGTGGAAGATAAGCCCCTGCGACTGCACCCCACCAGGACGTTTCTCCCTGGAATGAAATACAAACCTGAGGTACAAGCGTTGTTGCTGGTGGTGGTGTGATTGTGTGGAGGCTGGGCACGAAAAGGCCTTCCATCTACATCCCTTATCAACAAGTCACAATCTGTCCACAACAGTCTCAGTATGTCTCGATGCGTCCAGGGAAACGTATCCGACTGTGACGAAGCATTCTGCACCTGCTTGTACTCATTTGTGGATGCCCCCTGTGTTTTAGGCAAACAGTGCCTGTTCCTTGTTACCGGGGCACCCTACAGCAGACTCACTGCTCTTTTTTCAAGCTCTTTCCACATATGGAACATTGCACTGTGACAGCTGAGGACTTTTTGACCAGTTGCTTTCTTTCTGCCATGCCTTGCTGGGAAGCATGCCTTCCTGGGAGGATGTGTTCCTTCACAGTTTTGTGCTCCTTCACAAGAATGCACAGATACTGTCGAGTATCTGTGCAGTCAGTGCACAGAGCGGTTTTGTCCTCCTGCTGTTTTGGACTGTCAGGGTGTCATTGAAAGCAAGATGCCTTTGTATTTGCAGGATCTCACTTTGCCTGGTCTTGGCACCCGCCGACCTTTTGTTCGACCCGGGCCAGGGTTCACCAATGAAGAGGCTATTGAGCAAGCAGACTACAAGAACCTGGCGTTCTTGAACAAATTCGTCACCATCACAGGCAGGCTGCTGCCACGGCGACAAACAAAACTGAAGCAGAAGGTGCACAGGCATGTGTGCCGCGAGGTCAAGCTGGCAAGACAGTTGGGTCTGCTGCCATTCACGGGTCGGCGTGCTGACTTCCTGAAGAGAAGGACTCAGGATTCATGGTGATATGTGTGAGGAAACTGTGTTGATATCGCCAGTCATGGCTCACCATTGCTGCTGGTTAGTTTGCAGAACTGTAGAGGCACAGTGAGTGGAGGCCACAAGTGGTACATGGAATCCTGCGATATGAGGGGAAAACTTCCTTGCAACTTGTTCAGATGCACAGGATCCAGAAGAAGAATGCTCCTGGCCAGCCATGTTAATGAATGCACACCGTCACCACAGAATGCATCCGTTACATTGCCAGTCATGTGCCCCACTTTCCTGAGTTGTGCCTCAAGTATCAGTGAACCACAACACCCACTCTGCCATTTTTCCATGACATGGCTAAGCCTTAGCCAAGGTCCGTAGCTTGCAACCTATGTGTGAAACTCTACCTAACTCCCTGAACTTCTCAACTCACTGCAAGGAACTGCCCAAAGAACCAGTTGCCAAGGCCAGCTTTCATTATCCCCCATAGTCGACTCTGTCCAGGGAGGGGTTTGTCAGCGGCTGGGCTTTCTGGTATGCCTCTTGATCCATGGGAGATAGTTTTGATGGCTGCCCCTGCCGCCTGCCGCACAGATCGCTGGCAGAAGCCGACTTCAACATGGGGGGAAGTGATATGCCAAGAGCGACCGAATCGCACGAGTCTGTTGTAGAGGGATTGGCGGTCGGTGTAAAGGGGAACTCTGCACCTGACAATTCCCTGTTGAGCCTGTGGGCCGGTCGGATGCCCTTCAGAACTGAACTGGTCAGGGCACAGCCCCCTGGCTGTGCAGCGCTCCCCTGTTTCCCACCAGCAACTTCCTCATCACCTCCTTGTGGGAGTCTGCTCCTGTCATACTGGCTGTACAGATGCATGGAAGTCATGGAACCTACTCGAGGGAACAGGTCGACGTCCGCTGAGTGCCCGTCACAGGAAGTCCCCAAGACATCTGTCTTGTGCAGCAATTTCTGCAACTGCCTCGCTGGCGTGCGCGGGCTGTCGGGAGGCATGGGCTGAAGCCCCTGTGGCGGCGATGGCATCGAAATCTCGGCAGGAGAAATGTTGCCTGCATGAAGCTGACCACCGCTGGATGGTGGGCTGTTGGAACCCCGCCTTGTTGGGTACCTGGGACCGATCTGCAATGGAGATGGTGCTATTGCCTTGATATTGCCAGGAGGTGCCAACGTTGGGGGCAGAGGACTTAAAGAAGGGAGCAGGGCCTGGCCAGTGGCAGCATCAGCTGCATTCCTTGGTAAAACATTATTTGTTTCATCAGTGCTTTGTGCCCCCACTGTCATCTGAGCGTCTTCCTGTGGGACGAGTTTTTCTTCCTGCACGAAATTCACCGATTTTGCATCTTTTGCTGGGCGGTAGTCTGCATTTTCGCTGCTCCTGCCATCCCTGCTGCCTTCTGGAGCGCCTTCGGTCCCACCAGCGGTACACACGGCTCGCGGAGCCCCACCTTCGCGCACCAATTTTACTTCAGGCTCAGCCATTGGAGTCAGTTGTGGCAGGTGAGTTGGTGTTGCCCGAGCATCACCCGGAGGGCCGTCGGAGCTGCACAATGGAGATTGGCCCATGCCATCTGGCTTCCTATTGGCTTTCTGTTGGGACAAACCCCATCCTTCAAGGGAGCCAGAGGGCGCCTCGTGTTTCTGTGTTTTCGCCTCCAGAGGAGAGATTACTGGCGCGGCACTGGTCATCCGACAGGATGACCTTCTTTGGTGGATCATTATCCAGGGATGCTTCATGAGCTCGGCTGCCGTCGGTCTGCTGTTGCTGTTCTGGCACCGCAACATACAAGTCTCAAACGGCGTCGTTTTAACACGTAACGCGCCCCAAACGCCAAGCGGCTGCCCATATGCACGCAGTTGCCTCAGTGACTGGACATATGCCAGGCGTTTGGCAGTCTAAGTTTTCTCTGCTGCTTGTCCAATCAACAAGTGCATTGATACTTGACAGTGTCGTGTCAACTTTGGATGGCTTTCACTCAGACAGCTGCTTTGTCCCAGTCAAGCCCATGTGCATATGTGTGATTTTAATATGGCCCCATTATTGCGGCTGGCTCACAGCCGTGGTTGCTCGCGACTCGAACCCATCATACGCCGCACTATGGACTGCTGGTTTTGGAGGGAGGACCCGGTGTACTTGCACAAAAGTGTGGGCATCTTATGATGTTTATCTCATCTGCAGGAGCAGTTTCTTGCTGCCTAGATTGGCGGAAATAGCCAAACTCCCAAGGGCGCACTACGCTCTGCACAGACTCCGGTATTGAGGTGGGAACCGTTGGATCCATCCAGCTGCTGTGGCAGTACGTTGCAGGAGCGCACTCCTCTCCCCTGTGGGAGTCTCAGACACACAGCCCTGAGCATGAGCACCCATGCTGGTCGTTGCCCTCCAAGAGGTCGCAGGTAATTTCCAACTTTTGTGGCCAAACAGCGGTGGCCCCACGATTCGACCTGGATTGGGGGGCCGTGCTGTCGAGGCAAGTGTCACGTGGCTGGGCAAGCAAGCAACAGGGTGCTGCGCCTATCGTGCAGCATTTCGGCCGCTGGAACATCGCGCCGCCGTTGTTACTGCAAACTGTCGGTGGCTATATCATCTCCAGGATGACCTGCAGCAATATGGGCAATGCGCTCGACAGGTCGGCCGCTGGACGATCTGTGTTCCAAGGACAGTAGTATATTCAACCCTTCCACAGAGTAACGTAACACTTGGCCTTTTTTTGCAGAGAAGACAATAAAATAGGTAACGCTCTTGGAGTAAAATTTTTGCGGAGCAATGTAACAAATGAAAGTAACGCTCTGAAAAAAATGCGGATCAAAAAGCGTAACGGTAAAAGTTTATGATGTGGAAGGCTTGAATATACTACGGTATCAGGCTTGAGATGGGACAAGAACGTTCGCCCACGCATGCTGCGCCCGCCGGCAGGCTTCGGTTAGTACCCGATAGCATTAGCCGCCAAAGAATTGCGGCGCCAGAATTGTGCCGCGCTTCAAGGCTCCCTGGCGCCTTGATCACCTTCGATAGCGCCAACTGGATGAAGTCCCTGCAGGCGTCCCCCATCCACGGCGGGAACTTTGGATCCGAGTTCATGATCGCTTTGTATGTTTCGGACCGAGATTCCTGGTGCGCACACATAGAGTGAGTCTTTGAAAGGGGTTGCGGGCTGCCGGGCCGACCCAGCGATAAGGCTTTTTTGTTCTAAAATTGTACATCACATTTCAGTGTCTAGGTGCCACCCCGCCCCGGGGCCATTCCTATCACAAGGTATGGGGGTATTGTGCCACCTAGCAAGAGAGTGTAAGGCAATGTCAAGCCCACAAAGGTGTTCGAATCCAAGAGAATGCTGAGTCTCAAAACAGAACGGAAGAGATATTCAGCGCTTCAAGGGGAGCGACAAGGCTTTGCAAGTCGATAGACATCAACTAATCAGCCACGTTCCTTGTGCGGATGGCCTCTGTTCTCCGCGTACCGATTTCCATGGGTGCAGAAACGGGGCCAGAAAATGAGTTTTGAGAGTCTCGTGGCGCCACTTAACCGCCCCTGGGCCCTGATTTTGTGCATATAAAACATTATGAGATGGGAACGGGGCTGCGTTTGCACGCAGAGAAGCGTATTGTGCACTGTTTTGTTCTTGGAGTGTTTCTGTTTTGGGGGCATTCTTTCCTTTATTATTCCTACGCACCTTCTCGAAGGGTGGATACCCCACAATCATCTCATAGGCAAGTATGCCGACTGCCCACACGTCCACCTGCGCAGCAGAACTACAAATATCAGTACTATAAAGTACTATAAATATCAGTACTAAATACCGACAATTCATGCGGCAAGAATGCCCTGTTGTGTCGCATTGCACGAACCACACCGGTAATGAACCGCATGCTTTTGAAGAAGGCAGTTTCCGAGAAGCAGACACTCTAACAGACTGTTTCATTCACTGTTTAGATGCCGTCATGGTTAAGACCGTTCAGCGGCAGTGTGCATTGCATAGATAATGGACTAGGTCATACTGCGTAATATGATCCTTGCATTGTGTTTCTGGCGTCACCCCAGAGCGAACGAGCGGTAAGAAAACGCATGATTTCGTGGTACTCATCAAAAAGTCCCGTGCCAAATCCCATACCCCCGGCGGCGCCGATCATCGGCCACCTCCAAAACTCCTGTAATTGTGGGTTTGAGACGGGTGACCACTTGTGGGAAGAAAGCTGAATGTTATTGATTCCCGTGCATATGTTGGTAAATTATTCCAAAAGGGCACGCGAAATCAATGGCGTGCTAGCCCACTCAAAATGGCAGCAATGGACGTCCCAACGAGATGGCGAGCCTCATAACTTTCCTTGGAATGTGCAACATCTTTTGGATAGGCACGGCTTTCATTCGGCCATCTGCTGGTGGCGATATATATCTTGTTGTCACGTCGCTAAAACAAATTTTCCTACTTTGCTAATTTCCGTCTCTTTCCTCTGAAACTATTCTTTCTCATGTGCTGCAAGCGAGAGCAGCGCTGAGGCGCGAACAAATGGAGAGATGTATGCGCATATGGCCACCGTGGCCTTCGCGCTGCTGGGGCAATATGCCAAGGCACCGGTTCTGTCTTTTGTGGGTTCTCTTTTGTGAGTTTGTGTGTCTTTTGTGAGTTTGCCCAAAAAGACAGTGAATGAACCGACTTTTCACCTCAAAGTCAGTGAGGGGTATTTTCCACTCGCGGAGCTGCGCGTGAACAACAAATATCTTGCAGATACTATTATCCATTTGTGAAATTGTTTGTTCATTTCGCTTCTGCGGACACATTCCCATGCTCGCATCTTTCTCTTCCAGCAGTTATTGCCGTTGAAGAAACGCAGTTGCACCGGATCGGCGCAGGAATAGAGCTGTAGCTCTATGCAAGAACATACCTGCTTGGTGTATGCAATGGCCTCGTTGTCTTTGTTCTCTAATGGCATTTTCTTGTCTGGGCACTGCAGCACCTCCGGCGCCATGTAATCCAATGTGCCAGCGCGGGTCACAGGCCTCTCACAGTTGACGTCTATGGAGA